TCTGATCAAGAATTAATTGAAATCGAAGATTTCACAGGATGATTGCATCAAAGGATTGCATTAATCTTCTTGATACAAGATCTTGATACAAGATACGTATTTTATTTCTCTTTTGATATTTTTCTTTCATGTATTATTATTTAATACGTATGTAAAATCATCGTGCGTTTTACGTTTTATGGTAGAAGTCAACGTGAATATTTATATACATTTGTTTTAAATTTCGTGGCAAAAAGATCATAATTATATCATTGCTCTAAAAAGAACATTCACTTGCACATAAAAAAGAGAAAGCTAGAAGTCGAATGCCTGCCTCTTTTCTTCCGCCGTTTCCACTCCGTTCGTGCTGCCAACAGCTGACATGGAGTACAGACGAAGTTAACAAGCTTGTCAGAATATCGTTCGGAGCGTTGCAAATGGAAATAAAAATACGGAGCATCGCTCCGTGCTTCGAATCGGCAATGTAATAAACGAGTTGATACGTTACTTTTATAAGTTACTTATAATATTACGAATTACTGGAGCGCGATATTACTGGGTCTCTCATTATCGTTTCGGCATTCGCCCACTTCGTTAGCCTTTTGTAGGGCAAGTTCGGAAGGGGTTTTAACGATGTCGTCGTCGTGACGGAGGAGAGAGAATGGGGCTAGCAGTCTGTAAGAAGCCGGGGCTTTATTAAAGCCTCCTATAATATTAAAGAGGCCAAGAGACCGTCGGTGTCTCGTACGTGCTTATATTGCGCGAATATAACCGCCGGTCCCCGGAACGCATTTGGAATATACCGAAATTGTACGTTCTTGTTATACCATGAGATTATATAAAAATATGACCGTATTATAATACAGGCGTATATTTCACTGTTGTACAGGCATATAAATTTACAGAGGAAAATTATTCTCTCTCAGGACACAACAAAAAAATGTGTTCATTATAAACACAACGTGGATAAATATCAAAGTAACATGATGTATGGCGTATCTTAATTATACCCATATATTTTGCAAGAAATAATAATTCAATGTGAAATTCTATGTATAATTTCACATACAATTTTTTTTTCATCCTTCTCCACGCAATATCTCGCGGCTTCTCGTGCTTGCAATTTCAGGATTATTAACATCGGTCTACGGACGGTTGACCCGTAAACGAAAAGCATTTTTATTCAGCCCCGCCGTTAACTGCGTTATCTATTTTGCAAGGATGTTTACTGCAGTTGACTCGTTGTTACGGCGTAAGGTAATCACGCTACCGTGTACGTTTTAAACAGGATGTTCCCTCTTGGACGTCGTTATACTTCACGGCAATGTTGCCCTGCGCGCGAAGCCGTCTCGTCCGCGCTTCAGTTACAGCATGAGAGCCGAGTGACCGAGCTGTCGTTTCGTGGTTACGACGTCGTTGCCGTATCGGCGTATATTGCCAGTGAAAGAGACTCGAAACCCTCCGGCCCGCGCTCGGTTTCGCAGAAGGGATGAATTTTGCGAGCGCGGAAAGGGACGAAGGATGAGGGAAGGGAGAGGCGGGAGGGAAAGAGGGGGACATTGGTTCGGGAGGATGGGTTTATCCGCAGAGCTCGGTTTCAGGTCAAATTAAACATGAAGCTGCGCGATCGTTCCGGGTCGCGTGGACCCGTTTCCTTCACGGGAGATCCAGCGGATCGCGAATTGTGCCGAGCATGCGTCCTGCGCGAACCGTACGGTATCTGCGAACGCTTAATTTTAGATCATGACCAGAGAATGATAAATATATAGTACCGCAAGGTCGGAAATATTACTTAATGTCGACAGAGAAGAGACAGCTGCACCTTCACCTCCTGGCGTGTTCGTGTTAGGTACAATTGCGAGCAATTTAATGAGTGTTATGTAGTATGTAACGAACGTGAGTTAACCGAATCGTACGGAACAATGGGGACGTGATATTAAAATAATGGTTTGATTTACTTGCTTGTTTCGCTCGCCCGCGATACATTCACGAATCAGCTAATTAAAACGGTCGTACTCATTACATGCTCTATCACAGAATAATCTTTCGTTAATGTACAATTGATTGTGACGTTGACCCACGCGGGGGGGCTCGTGCGTATTACCGGAAATTTGACGCGTTGTTGCACGGCGTTACGCGTCATCGTTGATACACATCACTACTTTTCTCTCCCCTTGCCATGCTGCCTGCGGTTCACCACGTTAAATGATGATATTAATTAATTGTGGGAATATTAGTATTACCCGAGCGTAGACGTGCTCGATTCGTTAAACAAAAGTGGAGTGCAAATGCAACAATAATACACTGAGTGTAGTGTGCTGCTCGTACAAAGCACTCGTAAGCTATGCAATTGAATATGTAATTTATTAATAGATTTTCAAAACGCGTTTCGAACATCTTCCGGGAAAATAACATTGAAATGAGATGATAATGAGAAATAATATTATTTAGAAGTTTTACAACGTTCTGCATAAAACTTGCGTAGGACATACCGATGCAGGTGATTATTATTAATATTATACTGAAATAAAATAGTCCGTATCTTCGGGAATGAAAAAAAAAGGAAACAAAAAAAGGACACAATGATACAAGAAAAAGAATTTAAAGAAGACTAGAAACTCCGAGGATACCTCGAAATAACGAGCGAACTTTCAAGGAAGCGTAGCACACTTCATATAATCAATTAGAACTCCAGAACGAGTGAGATGCTAATGGAGTTCGCTAAGTATAAACTAGAGCAAACTAGTATCGAATCGAACAAACGCATGAACCTTCACTGGCTCATATCTATTTGTGTCGTATAAATCCCACGACTCGTATGTAACTGCGCAACTGTGGAACGCACTTACGTAATTGATCATCATCTATACGTTAAATATCTATTTCAGTAACGTATTCGCGCGTATACCTTCGCCTAAGAATGAAAAGTGGCACATGTCTATTGAGATTTTGAAACATTGATGATACGTGAACAATATTGATGTAAAGTGGATTGAAACAAACGTGCTCTACCCGACCACTGGCGCATAATAAACGATTTTATCATTCATTTATCCTCCGCGCCACCCGCGCCGCTTTGTTTCTCCATCGTTCGAACGGCCCATCATTCGTAGTTACAGGACAAATTCCCCATCGGGCATTTTTCTCTTTTTCCGCAATTGACCATTATCCCTCGCCATAAATCCGACAGATGCCGAAGAGGCGCGTGAAGGAATCTATCGCAAAGTGGTCATCGTAATCTCTGTTATCTTAAGCAGACCCTTCGGCTGTGGGTTCCTTGCTTCCAGCGGATCCTGCTTCGGCCTTCATTCCCCTTGACGTTGACGGAGTATTGTTTCCCCGAGCAAGATTTCCTCCGGGTCCACTTGCTGCAAGAGCATGAATAGCGATATATGGCAAAAAAAAAGTGAGATTGTAATGAAACGTCAACTCAGTGTTTATCTTCCGCAGACTTTGTTTGAATGTTCGATGTTTGTTTAAGTACTCGATCAGCCGTGCGGTGTAAAGTCTCATGCAATATAGTGTCTTTTTCGAAGAGGACATTATTAAATGTCGCACTGTTAATATTTCAGTACTGCCATTTTTATGCAAAGCATTTCACTATCGGAAGTGCATCTCGTGTATTTTACCCGTATTTCACATATTTCGTATTTACATACAATTCACGCCAAATTTGGAAGATAAATGCTAGTTGTTATTCCTCCTGGCGCTGTTTTGCTATAATTGAATGATTAATTGCATCCCCCGTTCTCTGTCTCTCTTTCGCGTCGCTGAAAGCGTATATTCATCAATGTCTCTCGTATCTATAATTACAGTTCTCAATTCAATGATAATGTTAACGTCGGTGATGGTCTTTGTTTCACCTTTGAATTATTTGTCAAGCACATCGGAGCACAATATATTGCTAGATAAGATACGAACAATTCGCTTGAAAGTTGATATGAATCATTTAGCTTCGCGCTATATTACCACACGTTATTTCAAATATTTATGTCAAATAACTCAAATTAAATTAATGATATTTTAATTTACAATGGATGATAAATTCGAGACAATTAGTTCACATCAAATCGGAATGTCATATCGTATGTCGGAAGATATATTAACTTAATAACGTATATAATACCTTAGACGGTTATATATAATCGGCTTAACAAACGGGATTCTAACATGTTTCCTTCAGAAAGAACTTTATGCCAGAGGAAATTCGCTGATTTCTCGCTATCCTTGCCCCGGCAGTTTCTGCGACCCCTCGCAGATCGTATCCTCGCGATTCCGTGGAATTAATTCGTTAAGAGGTGGGAGGTCGGCCGTCCCACCGTGATAGACGGGGTTCGTAAATTTTAGAGGTACACCTGGTACTCTAGCCCCAGCAGGGCGGAAGGAAGGAAGGAAGAGAGATGAGTACGACGGGTAAATCCAGCTTCCGGTAGCAGGTCGGCTTCCCTGGCTGGAGTTGATCCTTGAGAATCTCGGTTATTCACTCGTGCTGGGCTGTCGATAACTTGGACAATCTTAACCCCGCCCACTTTCTTTTCTCTTTCACACTTTCACGTACTCCGCTCGTCTTGTCCATCATCTCGTTTGTCACGAACGAGATCTTTGGTTTGGCTTCTTCACACATCTTCCGGATCAGCCTTCTCGTGTTACACCGCTAAATCCAATATCAGGCTGTCGCTTCCTATTTTCCGAGAGGATCTAGACGTAGTCCCTGCCTCTATTGCGCTTCTACTGGTCTCTTTTCACTCCTAAGACAAAAGCGATCCAGACGAGGAATTGCTTTCGTATAACCGCAACTTGTTGAGTGAAGAGAATTTTTGAAATCCAGGCTGAAGTGAGCACTTCAGTTTTTAGCGAGTACACTATACACGTATAATATATGTATACCTCATACATATATATATATATATATATATATATATACATTGAAGATAAAAGTATTCGTATCTAGCTTATATATCGCGGCAACGTCGCTCATATCACTCTTCTTGTATTATATTTTACTTCATTTCATGTTGCAGGTGACTGGCATCGTAGGCAGAGCGGATGTTCTAGCGTGTATCTTCTTTTTGCTGTCCTTCCTTGCCTATCATGGGTGAGTACGTAATTTAATAACTTAAGTCTTTATGTCTTTCTGAAGTTCCCGGCATTTAATCTTCTTTAAGATTAACGAATATACAAACACAAACGATTTATATTAAATTTCTTATATCTGTTATATCTTTTTAGCAAAGATACACAAAAAATCTTAAAGTTTTACGCAAAAAGAGAATTTAGCTAAGCGGAAAAAATTCCGCATTCGCGCTGCTTTACGTTTATATAAAGTTTATCTAGAAGTTAGAATCCAGCTGATATCCCCCCCCTCTCCTCCCACCTGTAAACTAGGGGGGAAACTTAGGGGCTGTGCATACGTCAAGAATGTCGGGCGACGCTTAACGTCGCGACGACGCCAGCCTGACGCCAAAACAACGACCCATTCGTTCTCATGAACAGGGAGCCCGAAAATTATAAACTAAACTAATTTACCCTACAAACTACTATTATAGTTACGTGGGATCGTAATGTGCCCGGGGTTATTCACATCGATCTTCAGCGCGAGGGCTAAGAAGAATGACTCGACGCACAAAACAATTTCAATTATGTTTCCAAAGAGACATTATTCTCGCAATATTCATTTTACGGTAGATACACGTCGCTATTCCTGGCCGTAAGTTTAATTAATCGTAAAGAAGCTTAATTGTAAACTTCAAGAAAATTTCATTAATAAACTGGCGCGGAGAGGAGCCTGACGTAACGAAAAATCTGTAGAGACGGACTCGATTGTGAGAGCGTAAAAAGCTTCCGTAGAGGCTTCGGTACTCCAACATAAAAGAGCGTTTGCAGAAGACAAGAAGGTAAAACTCCGTCTGTAGGGCTAGCCCAATGGCTGGCGGAAGGGTAAGATGCTTGTCTTCGAACCTAGGAAATTGATTACTCTTGGCTGCCTTTGAGTACTCTTTCTTCTTCGTTTCCCTCCGCCCCTTACCTCATCGCCCCCTCCCCCTGCTTTATGCTTATCCACCTTTTTCCTTTCTTTTTATCTAACTAGTGTCTCTTAGTTCCTCCGCCTTCAATTCAGCCTCTCTCGACCGTTTACGCCTCGCCGTTTAAATCCCTCGGCGATTAAGCCGACCGATGATTAATTTCAATTATACATTTGGCTTATCGTCAAGACTCTCGTTGTTCTCTCGATTCTCGATCGCTTTACCTCTCTACGAAGTGGGGTGTATTCTCCATTCGCACTCCGCCATTATTGCGCGGCGAGTTACTATTAATCTTACTTAGAGAGCGTTGATGTAAATTGTAAGAAACACTTCCATTTTGCCGTGGCCTCGTTTTTATGAGCGAGTACCCGAGGAGCCGCCGCGGTCTTGTCTCGGCGGACCGGTCTCACATCTCGTTGTTCCTAAAATCCCGAACGACATCTTGGAACGGATCTGTCATTCAACGTAGATTGATGTACATGCCGACCGACGTAAACGTATAAATCCTACATGTCTTTGGATCAATGTTCTTGGTGAGAATTGTTTCCCGATACCGACGTTTCTATTCGACCCGAGAATAAGAGAAAAATATATTGGAAATATTATGAAATACATCTGTACAAGCAAAAATATAGTTGTATTATTCAAGTATTATTTCTCAGTATACAGAGATTTTGAATATTCTACTTGTAACGTAAGATCTTTTAGCTGTTTCTTAAAATAAAGTTTTACATAAAAATATTTTAAATTCTAAATATATTTATATCATTTTTGTATCATGTAAACTGTGCTTAATATCTCTTTTATAATAAAAAAATTACAAGACATCATAATAATAATTATAAAATGCTTGTATTTCATTATGTTAATTTTTAGTTGTAATCACTGTTTCTATAAATCTATAATTGTTGTATAATACTCGAATGGAGATAATAATATTTGAAACGCGTGATATTTTTGTGGGCTTAAAATTAAGTCAATCGATTTGTGCATTCCGAGTACGTGAAAGATATAAATGTAAAATCCAATTCATGATTGTTTAATAATTTCCAAATATTTGTCTTTTTTTTTCAGCCAGCAGACGGCATACGTATGGTCCAGCGTTTGCCTGGGTGCCCTATCGATGTTGGCGAAGGAGACTGGCGTTACTGTTCTGGTACTAAACTTTCTTTACGATCTCTGTCGTTCCTGGCATTCAATCAAGAGGTAAGTGTTTAAGTGTTCGGAGCGTTGTGTACGTTCCGGCCAAATGTAAGATTTAATGTCTTGAGGTAAACTTTAAATTGATATAGCTATCCTAACTTTAGTTATTTATAATACCTCAGAGTCAATAGGATTAATCCAATAATCTTAATTTATGTGTGTTCGCGTTCGAAAGATTAGAGTCTCTAGACGAGAAAGACGCACGAAATTTATTCGCTTCCCGTCGGAAATTATGTACGTGCAACGACAATGAAATCACCACGAGTTCTGTGTAGCATGTCCCAAAGCGGTAAATGTGCTTCTCGTGACGATAGAAAATGCGGCCAAAATATTTCGGCGTGTTCGAGTTTCCGTGTCGGAGCGCAAAACTCTTTTCAAACATTGACTAGGCGCGCTATTAATCATAGTGATAGTGTACTGGCGCAGTGTTTGCTACGTTTTTTGTATTCAAGACGCTAGACGTGTAATATAATCTCCGCAATACGCGAAAAAGTCACCGCGCTACTACCGTACATGTATATTACAGGTCTATTTTCGAAGCCAAATGGAACGACGACTCTAGATATTTTTCCAGACGTGCTGCAGCGTTACTCGTTTCGGTAAGTCAAAATAAATTTAGTAGCATAATAACAAATAAAGTCGCGTATTTATACGTAATAGAAACAATAATTGGCATATCTCTCAAATCTCTTTGATAATACGCGATAAAAGTGCATGAATAAATCCGTGACAAAATCTTGTGTCTCAAAACGAGCTCGCGGCGACGTATTCGATGCATCACTGTCACTGTAATATTGGCTACTGAGGGCAATCAATCATACACCTAAAAGATCGAGAGAGAAAAGAATAAGACTTCTCTATAACGATGTGAAATATAGATGAGTGGGTAATGGTCAAAGAGGATTGGAGTCCCCTTAAAGCACCATGCACATTCGGTCGTGCGTGGCATTTGGTCTCGCGGGATTTTGCAGACGAGTGGCAAGAGCGACCTGGCTTTGTTATTATTGTATTAACGACATTGTCTGCACTTCTAGTATCCGGGGAATTGCAGGGACGTCCGTGACTATATTTATCCATTTACGTCCGCGTACCCTCAACTTATCACGTAACTGGATTAACTGGAAAAATCAAGCTTCAGATCAAGCCTCGACGGCAATTGAGAGAGAAGCGTATTGTATAATATTGATTTATCCTTGATTGCTTTATTCAGGAAATTTATCGAAGATATCAAGAAGAAGATGAAAGTCTTGATGAAGTGATCGCGGACTGTTTGCAAATGTGTATTCACGTACTGCCGTAATGTAACCTGGCATTCGGGGCGTTATATCTTAAGGGGGATTTTTCCTACGTGTTAAGAGAAACACGATCGTCGCTCTTCTATAATCCGCGGAATTAGCGCGGATCCTCTATTCCGTGTCCGCATTAATTCTTAACGACCGATATCTTTCGTTTTTATCGCCCGGCTGTAGTAGTCAGGCGCAGGATGTTTACAGCAACTCGTACCTTAAAGCAAATTTAACGATTGTTACCATAGATACACTCGACGTAGAGAATTTCCCTTTACGGTCGCGGAAAATAAATAACATTCCTCGAACTGCTGTGCAACACAAGACAAACTGTGCAGCAAACGAAGCGTGGGATGGAAATAGCGGCAGTTTCAAAAGATCAACAGAATGATATATGATTCGCATAAATGGGTATTGTATAACGCTCGGCAATCGAAAATATGGCACGGGGCTTACCATCGGCAGGCCACGATAATAATCAGTTTTCTCGCAATTAATTTTGTTAAGTGACGGCAATAATTAAATGGTTAATTTATCTTCCTTTAGGATACATTCTTTAAAGTTAAACATCACATTTTAACTTGAATGCACTTCAAAGAAAGCGGAAAACTTGCACAGTTTAATTTCGATCGAACGTTTTATGCGTTTAATTTGGAATCCTCTTTGAAACTTGATTTTCAAACAGGATTTAAAGTTTTTACGAATAGTAAAGCTTTTAAGAAGGCTCTCTCTTTCTAGTAAAATCCACGCAGGCGTGAAGTGCCGTGAGTCTTCAAAGGGGTCTCAAGTTGGGTGGTAAATTTTATCGATAAGGGATGCGAATTTCTCGTATTTTCGGCACGAATCCATCGGGGGTCATGCTGGTCGATCACGACACCGTAGGGTGTAACCCCTAAACGGAGTTTATGAGACGCTATTAAATTCTCGGCGCTTTACTATCGTTGATGTTCATACCCAAGAAACGCCGGGCTCTTGCGGCGCCGGCGCTCATCGTCTTTATTGTCGCGAATTAATTTAGACGGCGTCGTATTAAGCACCCTTACCAACGCGGTAAAGTGTTCAATAAAGAGATCCAAGAATAGCATATCTCTCACGATCGGTAACGGTTATACCATGCGCCCATAATTAAGCAGGCATTGTATTAACTATCAAATATTTAGCAATTATAAAATGATACATAAGCGACAATTCCATCTTAATTTTTCTATAAGTTTGCATTAATCTTTCCATAAGTCAAGTTTCTATAGAAGTAAGACAGTTTCCAAGGTAACGGAGTTTAAAGTTGCGCATTAAAATTCTGTAGCGTATAATTAGGCGGAAAATTCAATTGTATAATTCCCCCTTCCCCTTTTCGGTACATAGGAATTGCTAAATAACGTATTTTGCCCTTAAGACGTATTGTGGTAAGTCAGGGTAGCACGACCCATCACGCGGGCCAATGCGGGAATAAAGGTTGCGCATGGAAAGTACTTTAACCGAACACGATTCTGAGTTATGCTAATTTATGCCGCCGAACGAGGGAGGCGTGCTTGCACACGACCTACCCTCACACAGTTATCTACATATCCCGGATCTCTTTCCACCCCCTGTCGTTTCCGCCATCCCGCAGCACTTACACGTCCTCCAGGTACGTCGTTCTCAACGATGCTTCTCAGTCTTCATCGCCGGGAAAGCCCACTAATATCCCAGAATAGAATACTATACTTTGTACGTTAAACGTAGCCTGTCAGATTTACAGATTCCTTTATTCGAACAAATTGAGGACGTTATATTTTACCTGCAAAATAATATCTCATCATTGTTAATAAATGAGACAAGGGACGCTTCTTGTATAACTTTTATATTTGGAATAGTTAATTTTTAAATTAAATTTTATATTAAATAGTTTAGTTAAATTTTAAATTAAATATTATAATTAATTATAAGAAATTAATTCGAGTACTAACGATTTCTTTTTTTAGAAAGAGGTTTTGGATTACTTAACATTTCTTCAAATGCTTAAAAAAATAAAATAAAATTGATTGCACTAAAATATCATTGCTATTGTGTCGGAAGACATGAGCGCTACAGACACATCATACAGCTAACATCTAAGGTGACAAACCTAATCAATAGGCCAATCCATTAGAGAGGGAGAGGTATATACGTTGTTTACCGATTGTACATTGCTATACGCTTATTGTTGTCTGATTGGCTTAACGCTTAACTCTCGCTTGTCTTACATCCCCTTGAGATACTGCGATTAAGGACAAATTATGATCGAAGCTGCATCAGCAAAAAATGCATTATCGCGATTGCTTTCTGCAGCCACTTTATCATTATCTAATTAGTCAGTAATCGATATCTAGTCGAATATATTGAGTAAAAAGATGCATTTTTTTGCAGCGAGAAAAATCTTATAATCTCAAAAGAATAAGGATGTTAATCCGCAGAATGTATTGTAATCTGTAATTTATTTCGTCGTTACTGCACCCGCCGCGGGTATTACAACGCAACGCATTACGATTGTGTATTCATCCATGGTTAAAAGTTCGCAACGTCAGAAAAAAAAGCTGCATCAATATGCGATACGACATTTCATGCGCGTCGGATATTTATCGGAATTGAATTTCCATCCCGCTCGCGCGCCGTATTCCGCAGGTCAGCCGGGATCGTCGTGGTGGCGTAATACAATATTCCAAGAGCTTCCCATCGAAGAACAAGGCCGGGCATTGGTGTCGAACGTCTCTACAGGATGCGGCGTTTCGATGACGGCGTTACGACGTGTTCGTATATGACCGCTTAGGATGGACGCTACCCTCGTCTGTCGACTTCGATCCTGGAGGGATATGAATACCTCGAATTGGCAGATATTGTCCGACTCTCCAACCCTTCCAGAAACCACTCACCGCCCGTGTCTGTCCGCCGACAAGAATGCGAGCGAGAGAGGCCCCGACGTAGGGTACAAAGGCGGAGAGATAGTGAGAGGGCCAACGACGCCCTCCCCGGATAACTTCGGAATAAGGGATAGAGAGTGGTCTATCGGAGGATGGCACGGACGTCTATTGGGTTAGCGAGCTCTGCGGAGGACGTGACGGAAATGTGACGACGGTCCCGTGTCATTCTCTGCGTGAACGTGACGACGTCTTGGCGCGCGCACGCGAGAGAGAGAGAGAGAGAGAGAGAGAGAGAGAGAGAGGCTGTGAAGAGACGACTACCTTTCGTTCTTTGCTATTCAGACCCGCGAATCGTGTTACTTAATTAAACCATTTAGCAGAACGTGACTGGTGCGTCGTGTCGTCTAACTAACATTATTGCGAGACGCATTACTAGCTTTCTCGCCACGTATCTTACGGATGATGAATAATTAACGTGGGGAAGAAAATCGTATCACGTGGACATGGCATACGAATGCACAAGTTTGCCTTTGCCATCCGTTCACTTTTGAACCATTAACTCTACTTTAATTCACTTCACTGCATCGTTATACGTTTCTGTATTTACGTCTCTACCGTCGTGCAGTAAATCAATAAACCGAATAAACGATTTGAGAGACTGCCCAAAAGCATAGTTTCAGTTATTTTACTTTATTATATAAATGCAAGAATGTAGTTTATGGTTCGATTACAGCAAAATGTTGGTGTCGGTTAATGTAAAGCATAAAAGCTGCGATTGTAAATGCACGCAATATGGGCGCGATTTAATGCAAATAAGAGACACTTGATTTAATGTCACGTTTGATATTCACACATGTACGAAGTTATATATGTAAGTTCTCTAACTTTCTACATTTAACGGTTTCAATTTCTTCTTAACAGTAAAATTTATTAAAGCATTAAAAATAAGCAAGTTTGTTAAATTAGTCTTGAATATTAGTTCAAACGTTGCAAAAAAACTTTCGAGTCCACATTTGTTATAAAGTGGACGTTTCCATGAGCGCGCGAGAAGAAAAATGTGTCACTGTAACAATATGAAAATTTATCGACCATTTAATGTTTGCAGTTTAGCATACTTCTTGTGGTGCGGCTCGCTCTACTTCATGGTACTTTGCCGAACTTCTCCGCGCAGGATAATCCAGCTGCTTTTCATCCCTATTTCCACGTCAGGTGAGTATCTATATAAATCCTTTATGTTACGCGAGTCGCGACGAGGAATCCTATTACAACGTTTCAAAACTCACAGCGATTGAGAACGACTGGAAACTTTATACCATTGTCCCTCGTTGAGGAGTAACGTATCGCGTATACGTGAGATCAAAGTGTTGGATGACAATGGAAACAAGACGACTTTATCCTTTGATCTGATTCAGCCCCGTATTCACCTCTCGCCCGGTGCTTTCAACAGTTGGAAACATTTAAGCTGCTATGCCATTTTGATTGTTTGCTTTCGCACCTCTGTGAAAGAATGTTTTCTTAACAGCCAATCGGGTACTTATCCAATTGCTTTCACGAAACTGATGTAAAGGCGAAAGAGAAATATTTATACGGATATATGTAATACTTCACCAATTCCGTGATCGTTAGAAAGAAAAACAGAATATTTTTTTCATATATTTGTATAGCATTTCTTACATTTATTTTCCGAGAAAGAGAGATTATCTTAAAAAATACGCAAGATATTAGAATATCTACATGGAGAACACCTCTACCACTGTTTTTTGTTCATTCCAAAATGCTCGAGTTAAAATGTCTTCTATAATGCCGCATCCCGCGGCTCAGAGGCCTCAGTCGACTGTCAGCCGGAGAAGGATTTTCAATTCGTGCTCTCAGGTTAAACCGGAAGTCTCGTCTGCCCAACTTTTCTACTCCAATTGCTTGTTTGCAACAGATTCGCGGCGCGTCCCGCTGCCACCGATTCGCTCGAGTCTCGTCCTCAAAGAGTTCGAGCGCGCGGTGCAACTTTTCGGTTGCTACTCTCGAAAAATCTCTCCGTTGATCTCATCGAAGACGGTATTGGGTACGATACTACGATTCGCACAGTTCTAACCTACTCGACAGCCTCTCGAGACATTTTCTTCTGCCGGTTTTACAAGTTTTCTCGGTGGCGCGTCATCGTGGGTGTTCCGAGGAGAGTTCCCGAGATCGTGCGGCGCGTACCACCCACGAAAAATTTTCTAATATACGATCCGATTTTACGTCTCGCTGAACATGTCCAGTAAATCCGATTCCGCTATATCCCGTAGTTCAACGATATCGCATGACCGCAGTATCTATTACGTCTCGCAAGGAACGGACGTGTCCCGACGTTTCACGTAGATGGAAAATGGAAATGGTCGCGCGATGTGATTCTCTCGACGCGACGCCGCACAAAACTTCCGTTCATGACGAGACTACGAAGTATATATTCACCTCGGTGAGAGGCTCCTCTCTGTGACAAGTACCACACTGCCGGGACGAGGGGAGCAGCCTTTTTCACGCTCGTGAAAAATTATCTTAATTACAGAAGCGCATCTTTCGAAGCAGTCATAAACCTAATGCAATTAGTCTGCCTGCTCTACAAAATTAATTAGTTATACCATTACATTTTCATGATAAAAGCCACGTTTCTGCGCGTTTCTTTCATACGTGGCAGAGCAACCGGGTAAGATTGCTCTTTCCAGCGCGACTGGTGAAGGAACGCTAATTAAATACGGCATTCTGTAGATGCGCTTTCGTTTCTCACTGACGGCGAGGGAAAGAGAGGCGCGAAGAACGGAAATTCTCTAGTTATTGCTTTAAAAGAGGGCGAGTGTTTGATAATTTTAGCATATTGAGTAATATTGTTTTGCTCCCATCATGGCGCCCCTATAACGTCTCTCTGTGACATACGGAAACGTATTGTCGAGCGATGTTCTGTCCTCCCGCGAACCTACCGCCGTATTTATTCATCTTCCTTCCCCGGTACAATCCCAGTTTTCCACCCTCTTCGCCTTGTCGCATGATCCCGAGTGAAAGGAAGAAACGGACCTCGGAGGAAGAGAGGATATTAGGCGAAATACTTTCAAGCTGTCTGCTAGAAACCGGGCCGGGAATATTTTACGAGATGTATAATTTGGCTGGATGTACCGTCGTTTCGTCGGAATTTACGATCGCGCGAGCCTACATCGGACAAGCGTTTTCGGTACAGCGCGCGCGCGCTCCACATCGTATTCTATTCCTCCCTCCGTTATCCCGGCGGGCGCCTTGTCCTCGAAATATCCTCCTCGTCGGGCCGCGCACATGCGGCTCACGCGGCGGCACGTGTCCTTTGGTGACGCTGCAACTTGAGGAGATTTGCCGGCAGGATGTCGTAGGTCGCGCGCGTGGAGAGTTTCCGCTCTAATGCAGTTATACGTTTACGAGGTCCCGGAAATACCGGACGACATATTTGCGATCGCGTGTACCGCTCTCTCGGCCGCTCAGGTGGTTACTCGGTTAGACCCTGCGGCTGCTGCCGCGCGATTAATACGGTAATTTAAGTTTAAGCTTGTTAAGCGGACGACTGGCGCGCGTAACTCTGCGCGAAGCGCTAATCGCCGCTAAATAGGCTGCGATATAAATCATCCCGCGCTCGCCCGTTATTAACAAGGGCTTCGCAACGTTTCCCCGACAACGCGCAATTACGACTACACGTTGCAGCAACGTGTACGCAGGATGCACCCGTGCCCGGCCTCAATCTCGCCTCGCGCGCGCCATGCGCGCGCAAGATTCGCGATTTTACATTGTCGTGTGACATCAGTTTCCTTATTTCCCGAGCATGCTATCCAATTTTACGAAACGCATATGCCAACGTGTTACATCGCGCACCGACTTGACTATAAGAGTCACAAATGGACCCGAGTTTCGCGATCCACTGTAGACGCTAACACAAATGTCGTTACATTCACGAGAAAATCTTGCTTCTTCTCTCCATTACTCGGACGAAAATTCAATATAAATGTGTGTTACACGAAGTGCGGCAACATCCTCAAACGAGTCTTAGGAGAAACTCGATGTCGAGAGAGTAGCGAAAGAGTGTATTAAGAGGTTTCCGCACGTCAAGCCTGTAGATACAGGGTAAATGGGAATCGTTAAAGGGTCCCTCCGGTTACGACAGACTCACGTATATACCGCGCACGATCTTCGCAGTGATTAATTCCACGTCGGGTCCGCCCTATCATGTCTCAGTCTATTGCCGTACCCATGTGCAATGATATTACGGGCGCCATACGCGTGTCATATCCACCATAGCCTGCGCCGGCTTTGTCGTAAAATATTAACACGCGGTAGGCAGACTTCGTAAGACGGGCACGACACATTACGAATGTTACTACGGGCGAGATTTTCCTCAATAAAGTTCTCGTAAGATATTCCCGTTCCACGTTGAGCTCGTCATGGAATATATTCACAGAAGATTATATATAAATAATCGATTACAAAATTGCATGTGGCAATAGCCGAATTTAGCAATCTCAGTTGTATATTTAGTTACGTTTATCTCATAAATATCAGTCATGTGATAAACGATAATTATGTTTGAACTAGTAATTTTAGAATGCAAATATATACATATGTGCATTCTGCTATATAAATATATTATTGAATATTCTAGCGTTTCAAATTGACATTGACTTTAAATAACTTTTAATCACTATCATGGTGGAGATTGAATTGTGCATCAAATAAAAAAGGTATATAGGCAACGTCGTTATGATAACGACGATGGAACTCGTCGAGGTTACTGCGAGACCTCATTGTGTTCTTTAAATCGCCGCAAGAGTTCATTGGAATTTATGCAGCATAGTAACTTGAAACTTTCTTCTTTACGTTTGTACGTTTGGAATACTCTCGGGAGATTTATAAGTTTATAAAACAGCTTACCTCTTAGGAACTACGGAATATCCCGGAAAACAGAAGGAATACGCTATAAATGGTTAACGTAAGTTTCCTCGTAAAAAGATTGTTCCACTTTCCTCTCCGTTTGATTTCGATATCTCTTTTGTTTCCTTATGGTATCATAACGCGGGAGCATAAAAAAAATTTATGTGTAGAGCAGAGTATTGTGCAACGTTTACGATAATATGCATAAAACAAAAATTTATAGAAAATCCTACGCCGTGCGAATTTGAATTATAGGGCGAGTCCTTGATACGTATATCAATTGAGACGAGTTACCCACAACGTGACAGAGTGCACTTTGAATTTTTATCAATATCCGTGATAGAGAAGCGTTAGAATAATCATGCGCAATTCTATTCAATCGCGCGTTTTGTGCACCGGGAGTAAAACTTTTTTTTTTGGACATTTACTTTATTCAATATGTGAATGACAGTAAATTGTCGAAATTCGGAATATTCTTAACAATAGGGAGAATGTGTCGCTGTCGACTACGCCCGTAGGATTTTATATCGGGCGCGGGAATCATGAGAAGAACCGCGCGCTACAATCCAGGCGAAAGCCAGTCGAACCATGTTGTCGCGTATTGACGTGATTTCCTTTAAGGAGGATGTCGAAACTCACTTTCATATTTATGAGCCACGTTATGCGAAAATGCAAACGTATGCAGACGCCAGTCATTTACGGTGCACTGACAATCATGCACGAACGATGGAACTTCATGCATGTGATAGCGATAGAGCGTAATATAACGTTCTCTCTCTCTCGCTCCTATTTCCATCGCTGTATGTATAATAGCATGTCTTTATGACGTAATCCTTTGACCGAGAATATTGTTACGAGAAAATTTGTATCTGCGCGCTCTCTCACGGCCATTTTCCCTGAAAGTCCTGTTCAATCATCTTTGAAGTATTACTCTCTGTATTTTAATATCGCGTATCTCAATTTGTCCGTATAAAGTATTTTGCTACATATTGCAAATAGCGACCTCAGAAAGGAAGCGTCAAAATACTTTGTATAGTGCTTGTTTATTTCGTCCTGTCTTCATAGATCCGAAAATCTTGCGGATGGATAAAACTCTGATTCGAGGTAAAGTGATCGAGTTACATAAATTATAATTCCAATTTTATCGACTTCAAACCTCATGTTAGAGCGATCAAATAAAATATATAGATGTCCCTATCGATCGACAGTGAAAAATAATGAAACTCACGTTCATTGTTTCCCGTCCGGGTAATCCATCGAGGCGTTAAATCTACAGATCAGTTTTCGTG